GCATCGAGAGTTGGCACGAGGTATCTGTGCGCGCCACGACCTTTTAGAGCGTGAGCGAAACACCCGACAGGGAGACACTGGGCATGCTCAGTAGAGCCATCAAAGCATTGTTTCGCTGTTCAGAAAACATCGGTAGAACAATGCGAGCTAGAGATTGTAATTGTCCTTTTTTGTTTGTCATGAATTTGTAATTTTTTCTTTGGGTGCTTTCTTATACGAAATGTAAGTGTATTTTTTTGTGCCGAGGCTGCTAGTGAAAAAGCTGGGATGTCGATGTTTTTGAGATGGCATTTAGTGTAGCCGTCTCTCTCTGTGACGTCAGCCGAATGCACAGATTCCTCGTGCGAACTCTACTTGTTTGTACCCTCCACAATTTTTGAATTCCAAACGCCTAATGTTTTTTTAGGTACTAGAGTTTCGTTCCTTTCGTTTCTTTAATGGAGGTAAAATTGAAATATAAGATTCCACCATGTTTCGGATAAATGCTCTAGAAGGTTTTATTTCGAAAATAGGGAATAAAGTTGGTAAATCCCTAAAAAATCGTAACCCTAGTAATGACGAATCACGTGTTTTTCGGAAACAGAATTGCATCGATTCTAGTTCCTTCGACTCCTTGCTGCCTTTACAGTTGAATATTGAATAACCTACTAGAGAATATAAGTAATTTTAAGATATGTCGATTTAATGTTAATCTGTACTACGTTGGAAATGCTAAAAATTCTTCCTCGAATGCAGTAGAATCAATAGTACAGAGATTCCCCAGGCATATGAATTACATATTTTAGAAGTTTGTTGTGAACGTGACGTGATCTGGTAAAACATCTTCGGTGGCTCGTCGATGTGACCCGCTTTGTGGATGTGCCTGGGGCGCTCTCCGCGAGCAAACGGCGGCCTCCGTGCCGTGCGCCCTCCCCGCATTGCGCCACGGCGGCGGCGGCGTGGCGCGGCGGCGGCGGCGGCGGCGGCGGCGGCGGCGGCGCCCCGCCCACCCCACGCCTCGTGCCGCCCTGCGCCGCCCGCCCGTCCGCCCGCCCGCGCCCGCTCGGCCGTGCCGCGCCGGCGCACTTATCGCGGCCGGGGCGGTTATCCGCTGGCGCTCGGCAGCGGCGGCGGTGGCGGCGGCGGCGGTGGAGGGTTATCTGCGCTTTCCTGCGGTGCCTGTGCTTCCTCGCCCGCGCGGCCGCCGCGGAAGGTTCTGCTCGCCGTGTCACTCGGCTGCTGGCAATTCCCGTGGAAGTGGTGCTATTTCGATTGCTTAATAATGGGTTTGATGCATTGTAGGATTCACACTCAGTGGTAGCATCCGTTTCCTCTGCAGCGTTGTTGGCCGGAAGGGTCTGGGTTCGAGTCCTGGCGATGGCGTATTTTCGGCCCAAGTTACGTAGCTGGATCGAATTCAGCCAGCATCTGGAGAGTTCAGCGCCTGACTGTTCTGATCGGATTCTCTGTTCAATGTCAGGTGAAGCTGGAGTAGTACCTGAATAAGCGGGCCACGGACCGCGAACTTTCCTTTCCTATCCCTTTTCGTTTACACACGTACCTACACTTACATGCATTGCACCACCCAAATGTTGAAAGGCCAGTTTCGAGCTTACAGCTGGATTGAGCTTGGGCGGTGCTCCACTGGTTGGGGCACATTTGGAAAGGGGAAATACTACAAATTGACTCCTACATCGGCGCCGGGTCTCTCATTTCTGCCGAGCAGGTACACAGCCACCTCTCGAGCTGTAACATGGCACTACACTTAGCGGGAGTAATGCCATAAGTATTGACACGCCCAGGAACACAAAATACTCGAATTCAGACATCTCTCAGGAACGTCTGTGTCGCCCTTGAGCGCCCAATGTACCCTTCTCCCCGTGAAAATTATTTTGCTCGTGAACTCTGTATCCAATGAACAGCTTGTTAAACAGATTTGGGATTGGGCAAGCACGTGAGTGTTTAGTGTTTTTGAGCGCGTCAACTACCTTGGTAATTTGTCCCTTGAGACTGTCAGGGCTCGAACCCTATAACCGCTCGATGAGCGACATTGCAGCGGTAGCGGATGTGGTCACTAAGCCAACTCAGTTGATCTGGTTAAAAACTAGGTCACCATTATTATGCTGATATACAAAGTGTAATGTTTTAATTACAAATTGCTGAATTGCCCCCCCCCCCCCCCCAATCAATTATATTCCCTTCCGAGGAAAATAACTGAATGCAACTGACGCTTGTTAGAGTCGGGTATATATGACGTTTTGGCTTATTGATAATAGCTCATTATAGTAAGTGTTTTCTGTGACATGACTTACCGGGAGAGGTGGCTCAGGGCAACAGCTGATGTCACTGCAGTGCCTTTGACCGGGAGGTCCTAGGTTCGAGTTCCGACGGTGGAAAGATTTTCGATACTAGCTTGTCAGCTAAATCGAATTATTTCGCTGTAGAGAGGAGAACATTTAATTGTCGATAATTCTCTGAGACAAGACATCCTTGTTCTCCAAACACCAACACTTATTTAAATCGGTTTTTGGGAGCTTTATGTGGCATTGATTTTATTATTCACTTAGGATGATGTAAGTTGGAATCAATTATTAAGGATTGAGGTACCTAAATGATTAACCTATCAATTATTCTTATTTATTGACATGAAACATTTTGTCATTATCGCTTTTTCAACTGTCGCAGTAGTCTAGCATCAAAGGTGGAGGCGTCGAATGTCGCTTAACCATCGAAAACCTGTTACTATCAGGTTTTTAAAACAGGTGAATCTGCTAGCAGACATAGTGAGAAGGGAATGCCTGAAGCTCCACTTCAATAAATCAAAAAAAAAAAATGATTTTACTCTCTTTACAATTATGGTTTCAATGATATTTAATGTTGTATGATTATTTGACCATAATAGAATTATTCTTTATTGTGCTTTCCATGTAATGCCACAGATGAAATGACATTTTCATGCTTGACTGTTTTATCTTGTCTGCACAACTGTTCGCCTATTGTAGCGTGATATTATTGCAAACGCGTCTCGCTTTCAATCTGCAGTTTTGTTGCCAACTTTGTTGTCTGCGTCAGTTTTCTCGACGTTGAAAGTTTCGCTAACGTGGTAATAGTGATAAAATAATTAATAAAGTATTTCGTGACAGGTACGACCGAAAAGTGTGCGGAAAATGTCTTAATTACGACATGAATACAACTTTTGCCAGCCATTGGTTTTCGAAAGCAATGATTAATTTATGAAATATGGTTCTTCTACGTTGCGACAAAAATTTCGTCGTTATAAATAGTAACTAATAGAGCATTAAAGGGGTGTCTGAAATCGGATGTCATGTCAAGAACTTTATTATAGTTCGTGTTTAGTGTTGCAGCACATCTTGGATACGAATTATATAAAATGTGGATGCTGAATTCGGAATTGTGGTGTAATTACATGTAGGATTATTCGATGAAACAAAAATGGTGATATTTAGTAAAAGAAAATATCTCACTGGGTTGACACGGTAGAAGGAAAATAAAACAGGTTGTTTTTTTAGTAGGTTTTAATGAAGCTATTACAGGGAAGTTGGGCAGTTTCTGTTCAAATGACTTTGCTGCTTACAGTTTTTTTTTCAATTAGTTGCGAATGTTAAAATGCATATGGGTGTAAGAAAGTAATGTAAGAGAGTGCATGTTTCGGCGTGTCCATGGGCAGAAAACTTTAGACAGTGCGACTGCTTGAAGAAATAAATCACGGCACGCGAAAGAGCTTCCATCAATAGAAAAGTGGAAACAGCAATTATATTTAAGCTGTTTTATGTAAAAAAAATGTCTGATATTAATCCAACTTCGTTTGAACTCGAGAAATGAATATTTTCAGTGAAAGATTAGTAAAATCTTTCGTAATAATGAGTGAAATGCTTAGATTGCGTCTTTCATAGATAATTTACAAGATTATCCGCAATGATACATAAAGTATATTTCATGTATGTATTAATTACTTACTGACGGTTTGTGTCAGTTGTAGCATATTTAGCTTAAAAGCAGCGTTTGCATCATTTAAATATAGGTACAGGTAATAAGAATATTTGTTTCTTAATAATTACTCTCGTGAGCCATAAGAACTCCGTAATTTTATTGCATTAACAGCAAATCGGATTGGAGAAAATGATTCCCGTCGGTACTGGTTTACTCCGCGTGGCTTCCTGGAAGCCATAATGTTAAGGCGATGACAAACCATTGGCTACGAGTGGAGACAATCCGTCCAGTTGGTTGTACTTCCTTTCTTGTTCGATTTTAGTGCGCTGTTCATATTATGCGATTGTAGATAAGTAGTTACTATTACTACTTCGTGCGGTTTTGTATGCATCAACTTTGCGGAATACTGAAGCAATTTCTCATATCTAAGAGACGATCCACATTCTTTTTCGGCAATTCCAGCAGGCAGTGTGTTGGCCGAGGAGAATTGCTTGAAAATCATGTTTCAACACCTATTTCTACAATGACGTGAACATTGTTTCGGTACAGGTTTTCGAGTGCTTGTAGTAATGTACTTCTGATTTTCCTCTGCTTTTTACAGTATAGGAGTAGATTCACTTGAAAAAGGGGGGGTGATATTCGGAGATGATAAATTATTCTTTGAAATGGAATTACATTAATTTTATTATTCCCTACTTTAAGAAAGCATGGCTTGCTGTTACATGTTGGAATCAACTATAGTCGTATGCAATATACAGCCCTGATGTAAGAACAATGAAGTTCTGAAACGTCGGTAAGCCAACGTAATCAAGTTATTGACCAACTCGCCATGAAAAAGTCCAAAAGAGTTCATTACTTCGTGCTCGTGAAGGTTATCAACCATGCAAGTTTGTTTCCTATTGCCTCCGGTGCCTCCCATTTAAAGGGAATTGAAACTCAGCGATTGCCTTGCCGTCGGCCCTCCTGGGGCACTCGCGCTTCTGCAGAATTTGATGATGTTTTTTGGAAAGGCCTTTCGAATTTGATGTTGCGAGCATTTTTGCTCGTTGCGCCCGGGCGCGGCGCTGCCCCTAATTTTCCGGTCGCCATTTCGCCGCCGCCACCGCCGCGTTCATGTCCACGGGGCTCGGTTGCCCCTTTCCCCGCGGACGGCGTGGCGCGCGGAGCGTGTCAGCGCCGTCGATGGCCCTCGCTGACAATGCAACTCCCCCGAGAGGGCCCAGGGCCGGCGCGGCGCGGCGGTGGCTGGGAGCCCGAGACTTGTGAATGGGTCTCCACGGCGCATTGTACCTGTAATGGCAAGAACGGGATACAATGGAGCGCATCGCTACACTTGCTTGACTGACGGCTGTTGCCCGGGTGGGGGTGATCGAGGACGTGCTTGAGGACTTCGAGTGAGTTCGTCGTAATTTCAGGGATGGCATTGGGCGGGTGAGGCTTTTTCGAGCGATAGCGTTGCGATGCCAAACTCACGCAGCTAATACTTTTCAGACTTGGCATTTGGAAAAGATTACTAGGGGAGTTTAGATGGAAGAGGTTGGTTTGTGAGAACGTCGCGTGGATACTGTTTATCGAGTACCATTGTTTCGAAAAATTGAATTTTGTGACCATTGCTTGGTTGTGCAAGGAATCACTTCTTTCAGTTAATAATGTTCATTGTGTAAGTTTTCTTATTTGCAGGTGTTAAAGAATGGACAAAGTTCACTAATCAATTGCAAGTAATCTACGGCAGGGATTTCCAAACTTTTGGGGCATGTTTTTTAGAGAATATGGAACATTTACAGAGTAAAAATATTTTCGTTTTTAAAGCTTACATTTTTTTTAGTTATTGTATTAAAGATGGTAATTTACCAATAAAAATAATTTAATAATGAGAGTGGAGTCTGCTTTTTCTTTTAATAACTCAATGACAAAAAGACACGGTGGGTGTCGTTGAAACCAGGGTGTGGTGCTAGGGTGGCAGTGTGAAAATGAAATTAGAATTTTAAAACTTGTTTCTGAGAGCAGAATGTAAACAATATGCTCAACATAATTAAATTGAATCAAACACCTGTTTATTATTTTCATCTATTTTATTACTGTAAAATTTTATGTAAAATGCTCTGTCACACTTATTTGGCAAGATTAAGTACTATGCTTTATATATATGATTGCGCTGTCGTGTAAACTGTTCTTCGTATTTTCAAGTGTAGAAAGACGAAGAGATATTGAAGAAACAGAAAAATTGAATGAAAGCATTCAGTCTGAGATACCGACCTCCAAATACTAACGTTAATGAATGAAGTAAATCAATTCTAATAATAACTTGGACAGTGAAAGATTTCATCTTGGAAATGCATGTTCTGGACGAGTCTGTCAGTTGATTCATGTTATGTATTCTGAGAATGCATAAAATGGCTGCAGCTATGTCTGTGTTGCTCTCTTCAATATTTGATCATCGGGGGGGAGCGCCGCAGTGCGGCACCTCGAGCAACGAGAATAAACATCGCTTATCAGTGAAACCTACGTCATAGCTGGTCGATGTGCTGCTGAGTGATCGACACAACCGTTGGCCAGCTATAAAGAAGAAAAATTAGAGTCGAATTAACTCTACAGGAGACCATTAATGCAAAGGGTACTCCACAGCCATGGTATTGTAAGTAAATGTCGGTCTTCTTCTAAGGATCGTACATTGCCTTTTATATCATTTTTTCGTTTTTTTCATTTCTCCGTTTTCGTGATGTCCCTGTCGCATTCCGTCTTTCTGTCGCCTGCGGCCTGTATCGAAACAGTGCAGTGAGGCTGCGGATGGAAAATCGATTAAAGTCACTTTGTCTTTGAGTATATTTGGAATGTTTTTCTTTGTACCTACTGATGAGTTGTCGTGCGACGTGAATAAATAACTTAGATCATATATTTTGTATTATTTATTTAGTTAATTACAAGAACTGTTACACTGTCTGACATTTTCAGGGACTACCCGAAAAGTTTGGAAAAATTCGCCACAAAATACTACTATACAGGGAGATACTACAGATTTAAAAAACAAAGATACTAGAAATGTTTGTTCTTCGGCTCTTGGGGTCGAATTCTTGATACTCTTCTCAGCACCTTGCGCCTCCCATAACGGGTAAAAATAAAATTCAGGAAGTAAGTCACCTTAAAAAAAACGAGGTATTTGTGTTCCAGCATTATAGACGACCTCCTACGCCATAAGAGATAGTTTATAAATGACATCTTAGGACACAGAGTATTACGTATTTGCCGTTTATGATCCGAATAATTACGTCATCACACATTCAGCCAATTTAATAAGCCTAACTTGTACAAATGTCCTTAGTTAATCTACTTTTAAGACTTTGTACACCTCGCGAGGAGTGGTCCCAATTATCTCTTCACATCTCAGGAGATGACTTATTTTCGCGTGCGACTGAATGATTCTTGTTGAGATTTTTTTTGCGGTGAGTGGGGCAGTCAGGCGTTTTTTTAGAAAAATGCAATATTATGCAATAAAATACAAAAAATATTATACCATCATACAATAGAATCATCTTTCACATCAAATTTAATAGATATATTAAATTTTTGTCTTGCCCTCCCAGTTATGCTCATGTGGGCTAGAGTTGGCAAATTAATCTATTAGCCTAGGGGCTTCTAAACGTCCACTTTGAAATGATATATATATATATATATATATATATATATATATATATTAAATAATTTCATAAAATTTAATGAAATAAGGCTGAAAATACCCTACTTGGTGGCTTTTGGCCAAAATCCTCAATTTTAAATATGTATAAAATGAATATGTAAATATGTTTAATATGAAATATGTACGGGTGATTACTGCAATGTACCACTGTGCAAATAAAGGCAAAATTGACATGTTTCATTGAATGGTGGTGATAAAATTGAAGAAGCTGAGTTTTATTTGTTTAAGAAATAACGGAGAAGGAAATATTGTATCCCAAACATTGCGAGCTGACGACGTTGCATGATGTCAAACAAACCTCTGTATCTTCAAAAACTATTTTCTTTACGAAGCTACATTTTCACGAGACATGGTAGCCTCAGAGAACAAACTTTCGTCACAACCCTATATGGTTGCATAGGGAACCTTAGAACACTTGTCATGGAATGACCCCCAAATCAAACGATTGATATATAAAGTTGTTGAAATAATAAAATTCAATGACCCTCAATCAACAAACAAATGACAGCTATTGTTGTAAAGCCCAGCGGAACGCGCGCATAAGGACATTTTCCGTAACATTCGTGAACCAACTCAAATATCTGTACTGGTAAACTTATTTGTGTAAATTGATGTTTTATTGAAAACAAGAAAAAACGACAAACCGAGAAATTGCCATTTGCAGATCTTACGGTACTGAAGCAAATAAAATATGTTAATTCTTTTAGTAAGTTGTCGCCCGACACATGCGAAATGGAACAAGTTCATTGAAGGAACATTAGAAGTTACCTGCACTTCGCTAATTGTAGAATAAGAGATGAGATTCTCGGTTAATGTGAACCGTTGGCAGTTGCGAAGTCTTGCTCTGACTGCTTAGTATGAGTCAGTACTCCAGGAATAGTATACCAGAGCCTTACGTCATTTGCATCTTCTTGAGAGTCCGTTAGTTGCAGATCGTTCCAGAACTGTTTCCTGCGTATGTGTGCTTTCGAAGATGAAGATTGATTCTGAAGAAGACAACATCATATTTTGTGTAAAATTAGATTTGACACTACGGCACAATACTCTAGTAATTTATCACGTACGTACGTTTAAACAGCCAAAATATATAGCCAGATACAATTTGAGCTTAGTAATATTAAGTTATTTTCCTGTTTTTGTTATCGCGAGAAAAATGGATATCACGTCGAATGACTATATGATACAAGTGATACTTGAACTTTAAGAGATAAGGAAGGATAATCATCTGAATCTTCAGTGGTTTTCAGTAATTTTGTTGTACGTTGACATGAGTTGAGATCGCACTGACCAGACGTGTAAGCGCATTAAGTAATCAAGACATTTTCTTCAATTATTCAACACCAATTTATTGCAGAACTTCGTGATCAAGGATAATAATAATAATTTTTATTATTATTCAGTTTATTTTGTTTAAATTTAAGACGTACGTGTATTTTTTCTTGTAAAGAAATTAAAAATAAAATAAAAAAAGCGAAATATCTACGACCTTAATCCGAGAGCCCAAAAACAGAGGATAATTCAATTCCAGGAAAATCAGTTCAACGTGGCACGAGTGGATAGCATTGCTCTTTCTTACCTCTGATATGTCTTTGTTAAATGCCGCCGTGTCCCAATTCTCTGGGATCTCGGCGGGTAAGCCCAGGTTCCCCAGCCGTTTGCCTGCACGGCGGCGGGGGATGGGTTTTGTCGTTCCCATCCCAGCGACCCGTCGTAACAATGATGCTCCCCTCTGAGAGGTCCGGGGCCACGCACGGACAGCGGAAAGCCATAAATGAGCCTTCGTGCGTTATTGTTGGCCGTAATGGCACGCACGGGTTACAACATAATGCACTGCGACGGTGTGGGCTGAAAGCGCGTTGCCGCAGCGGCCGGGGGTAGGAGCCGGCGACGGCGCGGCGCCGATGGCGGGGACGGCGCGCAACTGTTCCGCCGGTCGGACACCGCGGCCTCCCAACGCCGCCGCTTGACGTTGGCGGTATTGATGCAATTACGCCGCTTTTGTCATTCCGGAAGTTCAATGCTCGAGTCTGAACGTGCGTGGGTTTTGAGCGGGGAAGTTGATGGCTTGATTTGAAACAGTCACAAGAAGAACTCAATGGCCCGTTGCGTTAAGCTGGTGCTTTTGTGCTTTAATCTGAACGTTTGTGATGAAGGCCGGGTGGGGCGTAATGAAATTTAGGTTCAAACTTCTCTCTTTTCTCCTGAGGTCGTCAGGAACATGAGGCCACTGCGAATAATATTATTTGAGCAAGGCGACGTGTTAAAACGTTTAGTATCAGAACGGAGATAATGTATAGGATGATAGGTCGGAAAACAGACAATCTCAGTCTTCTTTTCAACATATTCAATATTGTTAATGTACCGCGGTGGGTAGAGAGCAGTGAGTAGCATTTTAAAAATACATAAATCGGTGGCCTTCGGGCGATTTCTTTTAACGATGTAATTTGTTTGACCGTTTCCAAGTTACTCGATTCTATTAGTACAAACTGTATGAGTAATCCTAGAGTGTTCTAAATGAAAAACTAATCGAACGTCGTTAAGCAGAAAATTGCCCTTTTGAAAGAGTGCCTCGTAGCATGTATGGTCTTATCCCTTGCGTTTCCGCGCTGCGGCATCTGCTGCGGCTACCACAGCCCCGAGTGTTCCCGAGCATGCGAGCTGCAGCGCGGGTGGGGGCGGGAGGCGTTCTCGGCGTGGGCGACCCGCGCCGCCACCGCCACCGCACCGCACCAGCCACCGGCCCACCGCCACCGGCCACCGCCACCGGCACCGCCACCGGCCACCGCGCCACCGCACAAGCTCACCCGCACCCGCCACGCCACTCCACCGCACCTCACGCCACTCCACCGCCACGGTCAGTGCCACCTCACCTCCACCTCCACTCCACCTCAACCGCACCGCCACCGCCACGCCGCCGCCGCCAGCCGCGCCGCCGCCGCACCGCGCGCCACCGCCGCCGGCCGCCACGCACCTGCCACCGCACCGCGCTTCCCTGCCACTTCCCCGCTCCTTCGCCTCGCTCCTCCGCCTCCTCTGCCTCCTTCTCCTCTTCTCCCTCGCCTCTCCGCCTCCTTCGCCTCCTGCCGCCTCTTCTCCTCTTCGCCTCCTCCGCCCTCGCTTCGCCCTCCTCCGACTCCTTCGCTCCCCCGCTCCTCGCCTCTCGCTCCTTTCCTCCTTCGCCTCATCCGCTCCTCCGCTCCTTCGCCCCTCCGCCTCCTTCGCCTCTCCGCCTCCTTCTTCTCCCTTCGCCTCCGCTCTTCTCCCTCACTCTCGCCTCCTTCGCCTCCTCCGCCTCCTCCGCTCCTTCGCCTCTTCGCCTCCCTCCGCCTCCTCTCCTCCTTCGCCTCGCCTCCTTCTCCTTGCCTTTCGCCTCCTTCGCCTCTCGCTCCTCCGCCTCTTCCTCCTCCGCTCCTTCGCCGTCGCTCCTCGCCTCCTTCGCCTCCTCCGCTCCTCTGCCTCCTTCGCCTCCTCCGCCTCCTTCTCCTCTCGCTCCTCTCCGCTCCCGCCTCTTCTCCTTCGCCTCCTCCGCCTCCTCCGCCTCTTCGCACTCCTCCGCCTCCTTCGCCTCTCGCTGCTTCGCCTGCCTCCGCTCCTTCTTCTTCCTTCGCCTCCTCCGCTCCTCGCCTCCTTCGCTCCTCCGCCCTCCTTGCGCCTCCTTCTGCCTCCTTCGCCTCCTTCGCCAGCGCCGGCCGTTAGTTGCTTCCCGAGCGGCGATGCGCCGCCGGTGATGGCGAGGAAGGCGACGGCGGCGGTAGCGGGTAGCCGCGTGCCAGGGCGCTCTCCTTATAATGTGCTCCCGCGGAGGTCAACTGCGGCGACCGCGCGCGCCCTGCGTGCGTCGTTGCTCCGCTCGCCCCGCCAAATCTCCCTCCGCCTCCCATCCCCTCCCCAGACCCTTCCTCCGCCGGCACCTCCGCCTTGCGCCGCGTTTTACTACACGCGATGCGCCGGCTTTGCCGCCGCCCCTGGGGATTGCGCTTCAAGGCGATGGCTTCGTTTCCTTCGCGGGAAAAGAACGCTGCGAGGGCCGAGAACGAACTCGTGAGCTGTTTCGGAGTTTCTGAATGGGCGTCCACATCTTCCGAGTGGTTATTGAACGATGAGTACGAACTTCGTTATTTGCATTACCTAGTGTGTAACTTGCAATGTAGAAACATAATTTCTTACGCCAGATCAAACGGGGTTACGACAGGAAAAAAAGTATCATATTTCGCACATTTGTAATCTGCAAAATAATCTAGAAATTACATCACTTGGTTTTCAAAAATTGATCGTGTTATGAAGGTAATGGGATCAAAAAGTCATATAATCCATAAAAAATGTATGATTATCATTTCTACTAATATTTATTTAAACGTTTTGAGAGCAGAATGCATTATGGAAACACAGAATGCTCATTTTATTTAGGAGATGCAGTTTTTTCCGCACTCCTGTAGTTTTGCCAAAACCTAGCAAACCACCTTGGTCTTGATTCTTTCTTTGTAGCCAGCTGAATATTTAATTGAATTTCTGAAAAGGTCGACTGAAAATAAAGGAATCTCTGCCGACATGAATCAACAAATAATATAATTAAATTAATATACATTGTAGCTGTTGGGTTTACATTTGAGGGATAATTTGTTGTTGAATTTAATTTCTATTGTGTAGCATCAACGTCACGGAATAGCGAATTCGACGTGGAGTTACAGAAGGCTTTTACAATATTCGTATACGCTTTGGTATAGAAACTTAAATATGTACGAGACCGAGTATAAAATAATTTGTTTTTTTTTTTAATTGACATGGCTTACCCCACAGTTTTCGTATTTAACAGTTTCTAAAAGTATGGAACTCCATCAGGTGGCATCGGCAGACGCGGGAATTTTGGTTTTGTGGTGTTCAATTCAAGCCCACACAATTTGTTATTTTTGTTTTTCAGTCGCACCTGTAGAAATCTGATGTACATTTTATTTCCTGCGATTTGTTTTGTGTGTTGTTTCGGTCTCTCTGAACTTCGCTTCCGAGTTCTGGAACCATTAATCAAGTTTCCGCGACTGAAAGCCTTGTTTCCAATTCTCTGGAGCCCACAACCTCCCGGCGCAAATTCACAGCTTTCGACTCGGCCTTGCCCTCAGTGTGTCATGCCGAAGCCCAGGAAATAAAAATGTCTGTTGAACATGCAAAGACAATTAATCTGCTGTCGTTCATATGCGCGATTCTTTGAAATATGTTTACTACAAACCACGCAATCTTTTCCACAGCTCGTCTGAAATTAAGAATAAAGTACAGGACCTTATGGTCTTTTCCGATAAATAAACATCCCCCTCGTTTTTAAGAGTTCAAAACTGTTTTAAATTCTCATTAACATAATTTTTCATAACAATTACCTTAGTAAAATACGTCGAATGTATTATATATTTTCCACAAATCGTGGTGAATACCTGTAGAATTTATTAATTTTTGTAGGAAAGGATACGTTCGGCCGTTAGATAAGCCACAACTGCAGTGCCACGTGCGTTGGTTGTCGTACCATACTGCGCTCAGAAAATTTGCGTTCCAGTCCTGTACCTGTGTTTGTTCGCCTGTGTTTAGATGTTTTCTTTTTGAGATTTATAGTTTTAATCACTATATAGTTAATGTAATTTCGTTTACTCTTCTTCATTTTGGTTTTTTAGAATGTGGTAAATTTATTAATTTAGAATTTTTTAAATTTAAATTCCTTTTCTTTGCAATGTTAATTTAGAATGTATCTGTAGGGTCCACTAAAAGTAAAGCGCAAGTGAGGTGCTCCATACTGTGGGAAAACAAATGGTTTTTAATATTTATAACTATTTAATTAATTATATTTTCGAACGGGATTCGTATTCGATGCCTACCGGGAGATGACTGTACGCTCTCCCGGCGCGAGGCAGGTCGATTTCCAGTGAATCAAATCAGTTTGTTCCCGTGGGCTCGACTTATTTTGTTCGGTGAAGGAATTTTAAAGATTTTGTTCTGGAATTAAAACTTATTATTTCTCCACTGTTGAAATAAAAACAAGCCTCTTCGTCTTTTTGCAACTCCGTGTAGTTGGCTTGAATTGTGGACATTGTATTGAAGTAGTGGTGCACTTGAAATTTAACATTTCTTCCTGATTTCTAACGACATATCGAAGCACAAAGGACATGAGAAGCTTAACAGAATTCTTTCCTGTGTATCGGAGTTTCATAGGAATAGTTTTAGATATGAGGAAAGGGAAGAAAAACGCTTTCATAAAATTGGAAAACTTTGAGACAATCTACTTTAGCGCTGAACTCGCGCTCCGTCCCATTTCGGGATTCGTCACCATCGAAAAATGTTGAATTCATACTGTATGGCAGAAAAGCGCCACGTTTGGCATTACCGTTGCTGTAAGGGGCCGTACTTCATTCATAACTTCGGTCGCGCTATAGTCTTATATGAAAACAAACGTCCTTTCCAGGAACCGCTATTGTCAATGTCCTTATTCCTGGAGTCTCTACGTGATTGTTTGGTCATGAATTTATCACATGACCTCTTGTATGAATTTTCCAAGCTAAAAATAGACACGCAGAAAATACACATGCAACTGTTCTTTTAATATTCATTGCTTTTTTTTTGTTTTGGAAGTTTTTAGAAATATAGTATACAAAGCTTAGAAACAATATGATGGGGAATACGATTGAAGCATTCGTGCTAATGCTTCGAATCAACAGTATGTTCAAATATAATAGCTCTTACAAATTAAAGTAGCTGTACTCGTAAATG